CTCCTCCTTCTGATATTGTACATGAACCTACACTTGCTCCAGGAGCTACAAATGATAATCAGTATCATCTTATTCACAGAAGCTCTTTGAGGGCAAAAGATTGTATGCTTAGGATAGGAAGTGTCTAATGCAAATTTTAGGGCTCACTATTGAATTTGGGAAACTAAGTCTGATTATAATAAAGAAAAGTTTGGAGTATTTTCAAAGTATTCCCACATTGACTTTCTCTACCCACATCAGTTCAACATCATTTTGCTATAGCTGAGAACATAACAAAAGAGGACGCAAGGTGTAGACTTGACCAGCTAGCCATTGTAACAGTGGGCAGGAACACACACCTGGAGTTTGGGTGCAACCTCCACATACCAGCTTTGTTCATTAACCTCTCTGACCCTAGTCACCTAGTGGATTTTCTGTGATGATTAAATGAGATAACGTGCATGTAAATCACTTTGCAGATTGCTTCAACAAATGGTAGTGTTTGCCTGCGTGTTAACTAATTGATGGAAAGTGGTGCTCTCTTTTTATCTTGAGTGAACTTCACATTCTTGTCTTCTTCCTACGATAGAATCATCAGTGATTGCTGTTATTGCTCCTTCCCCGTAGGCAGTCACAGTGGATTATCTACAACAGGAATTTAATGCCAAGAGCAGAGTGTACTGTCGTTGTGAGAAGCTCTGGCTCAGTGACGAATGACAGCTCAGAGTGGAGCAAGTTTCCATGGGTGAACGTGCTCCCCAGAAGCTGGCTGCTGAGTCAATAAAGCCTTCTAGAAAGGATACGGCAGTCCACAGAGCTGACAGTGGCTCTGGTCCCTCACAACGGCAGTCCCACTGTGAAAAGAGTATTTACTGTGAAGCCATTTACTCTGAATAAATGTTACTGGTGCATAGCTCCTGAAACTTAATTTTTTAAATGAAAATTTATAATGTCTTTAGTTTTTCAGTAATAGTACTAAATACAGAATGCTCTAGAAGCTTTAAATATGTATTTTCCATGGCTTCTGTATCATTGAAACAGAAAGACCCTAAAAACCTATACATTTTCATATCCAGAATACATAAAGAACTTTCAAAATGCAATAAGAAAATGAACCACCAATTTAAAAAAAGAGCAAAATATTTGAACACACACTTCGCCAAATATGAGCTAAAGATGGCCAAATAAATATATAAAAAGATGCGCAGGGCTTTGCAGATGCTGCTGCCCCACAGCCACCCATGCCCAGCCATGGTGAACCCCACCGTGTTCTTCGACATTGCCATCAACATAAGCCCTTGGGCCGTGTCTCCTTCTACTTCTTTGCAGACAAAGTTTGAAACACAGTAGAAAACTTTCATGTCTGAGCACTGGGGGAAAAGTATTTGGTTATAAAGGTTCCTGCTTTCACAAAATATTGTGGGATTTATGTGCCAGAGTGGTGACTTCACAAGCCATAATGGCACAGGCAGCAAGGCAATCTATGGGGAGGAATATGGGGAGGAATTTGATGAGAATTTCATCCTGAAGCATATAGGTCCTGGCATCTTCTCCATGGCAAATGCTGGACCTAACACAAACAGTTCCCAGTTTTTTATCTGCACGGCCAAGACTGAGTGGTTGGAAGGCAAGCATGTGGCCTTTGGGCAGGTGAAAGAAGGCGTGGATATTGTGACAGCCGTAGAGCGCTGGGGTCCAGGAATGGCAAGACCAGCAAGAAGATCACCATTGCTGACTGTGGACAACTCTAATAAATTTGACTTGTGTTTTATCTTAACTACCAAACCATTTCTCTGTAGCTCAGGAGAGCACCCCATCTGTTGGAATGTTCTATAATCTTCGTGCTCTCGCCTCAGTTCATTGGGTTCCATATTTTCCTTACCCCGTCTCCAAGTCTAGCTGGATTGAAGAGTTAAGTTTATGATTATGAAATAAAAACTAAACAACAAAAAAGGATGCTCAGTCATGCACTGCAAATTAAAGTGAGATACATCTGTTAGAATGGCTAAAATTAAACAATTTACAATACCAAGTGCTGACAAGGAAATGCAATGACTGGATTTTTTATTCACTGCTGATGGGAATGCAAAATGGTACAGTCACTTTGGAAAACAATTTTGAAGTTTCTCTTAGAATTAAATATTTACCATATGACCCCACAACCTCACTCTTAAGAGAAATGAAAACACATGCCACACCAGTTTTTATAGCAGCTTTATTTGTAATTATCCAAACTGGAAAGAATTCAAATGTTGGTGAACATATAAACTGTGGTACATCCTTACAATGGAATACTATGCAGCACTAAAAGGGAACTAACCATTGATGTACCCAACAACTTGGATGGATCTCAAGGGTATTATGCTGGAATAAGCCAAACTCAAATGGCTACCAACTGAATGATTCCATTCATATGACATTCTGGAAAAGCCACAACTATAGGGGACAGAGAATAAGTAGTTGTTGCCAGGGGTTGGGGATAGTAGGGAAGGGACTGACTACAAAACAAAATAGGGGAACTTTTGTGGTGATGGTGGTTACACAACGACTTATTTTTATTAAAACTTATAATAATGTACACCTAACAAGGGTGAATCTTACTGGATATAAATCATAAACGTAATAAACCTGATGAAAGAAATTATGTTTATTTTTCCACTGATATAGTATTTAGAAAAAACTCTTTTAGGAGTGTTAAATATGTATTTTCTTTTCATGGTTTCTTTGTCATTGAAATAAAAGCCAATAAATATGAATTCGCTTTTCCATTTTAGGCTCAGACGTTTTACTGCCTCTTCCTAAATTAAGGCAACTCGTAAGAGCTTGTTTCCTTGGCTACACCTGCCCATGAGAAATCAAGAGCCTGGGTCACAGGACTTTTACTGGGCTCTAATCCCCTCCCAAAAGGGCTTGGGCCTACAATGCCACTTTTTCTAAGCTGGTGGCCAATATATATTATCCTTCCTGAGCTGAGGGAGGGAGGGAGGGAGAGAGGGAGAGAGGTAGAGAGAGAGAGAGAGAGAGAGAGAGAGAGAGAGAGAGAGAGAGAGAGATCAAGGATACTGATGTGGAAAAGTCGATCCAGGGTTTTGTGCTTCTGTGCTCCCCTGCACCTGTAGACTTGGCTTCAGTGATATCACCTGACACACTTGTGCCTGCTGCTTGTTCTTGCTGCTGGTCCCACCACAGCCCAATTTCAGGTCCCCTCCTCTTTAGTAGTTGCAAGGTAGTCTGTTCAAACACAGCCTTGGGAGGGGAGGGAGTTGTCAGGAGGAATTCCACAGATATCCCTTTCCAAGCAGCCTTGTTTGGTGCCCTAGAGCAGAGCAACATCCGTGGTCTTTCCTAGTTCTCTGGGACATCCCTAGACTCCCAGGCCTCTCTAGCTATCTGGTCTCCATTCTCAGGGATGCTCAGGGCCCAAGTATCAAAAGCACCCTCAATAAAAATAATGACTCACCAATCGAATGTTAGGGCTTTAAATGCTTTATGCCCTCTCCACAGCTCCCAGAGCACCCCACAGCTCCCCAAAGAAGATGGCCAAGGGCAGTCATGTTCCCTCAGAGACTGTCAAAGAGCAAATATTCCAAAATTTTGCCTCTTCCACCAAAGACAGAACTTTTGCTGAAGCTCACCCTTTTGCTCAGCACCTAACAATATAGTTTGTCTGTTGAATCAGCACAAAGGGTAAAAGGACATCCTTTACTTATGTAACAGGTTCCTCCACCCAAAATATCTCATCGATTTCCTCAATTTTACAAATACAGTTGCTTTATGCAGCAGTACTGTAGACCCAGTTCCCCAACCATGTACTTGGCTTTGGAAGGAATTTCAGTACTTCACATGAATGTGATATCTCTCGGTTGTAGGAATGCACCGTACTCTGCACCACCAAGGAAGGAACCCCTTATTAAGGTTCCTCTCCTGCTTAGGTGCACCCTCTTCCCTGCACCACTTTATTCTGAGCACTGCACCTGAGGTAGACAGATGGCAAAAGGGCCCCATTCTTCCCCTCCTGTATGCATCCCTCACAATGTCACTGTGCAACTCTTCCATCCAGAGGTGGGGCTGTTCCCAGCCCTTGAATCTGGGCGGCCCTGTGTCGTACTTCACAATGTCACTGCGCAACTCTTCCATCAAGAGGTGGGGCTGTTTCCCAGCCCTTGAATCTGGGCGGCCCTGTGTCGTACTTTGGCCAACAGAATGTGGCAGAGTGAGGCCTAGGCCTCAAAAGCCCTGGCATGCTTTTGCTTGCTCTCTCGGAACCTCGCCACCACCATCAGCACGTGGCCAGTCTAGCCCGCTGGGAGGATGAGGGTCCATGTGGAGAGGGCTCAGCCTGGCCCAGCCAACACCCATGCAGCCTGCAGACTGCACATGGGAGCAAGCCCAGCTGGGCTGACCCAGGCCTGAAGAACCAACCACGCTGAGCCAATGCAGACTGTGAACTAAATAAATGGTAGTGTTTTAAGCCACTAAGTTCTGGGTGGCTTGTTTCATGGCAAGAGCCCTTTCGGCCCCACCATAGGAAGGTCCCATTACAGCACAAATTGCTCTTTGTGCATATAGGTAGAGGGAAAATTTGATTTTTTTTGCCTTTTTCTGGTATTTGTGTTAAATATGGGTAGGAACTATCAGACTCCAATTCCCTTTCAACTCCATGTTTACAAACATTTCTTATGAGATCAATAGCAGGTATGTCATCAAAGCAAGCAAGTCATGTTCTGTCCCAACTCAGTTGTCACGGGTCCCACCAATAAGACACAACATAGCCAACATTGAACACCAGAGCATACCACAGAGACCGGGAATAAGACAGATGGTTGTTTAACAAAGAGCCCTGTTTAAGCAAACCACGAAAGAACTCTCCTATGGTCAAATATTACATTTAATAATCTCTTTATCACATTCCCCCAAACAAGTTTTCATTGTTGTCTTCATTGTATTCTTTTTACATTTGTCACATACATCTCTATAATACACAGAGGCAGACTTACAATTGCTATACATTTCCTATCATGAATTGTCTTTGGGTCAATACAGAATTAGTCGGGGTCAGTGTGGGAAAGAATGCGAATACTACCTTTCTCTGAAAGTAGATTCTTAATTGTTTAGCACCCTTTTTGTAAGAAGCGCATCCTTTGTTATCTCTGGGTAGGGAGAGTGTCAAAAATTATCATTAGTGCCTTTTCCTAGGAAGAAAAATGAAAGCACAGAAAGGTAAAGTAATATCAGTGGGATGATGACAGTCACGGCGGAAACTTGGGTTTTTAGCTCAGCATTCTACTTTGTGAACTCTACTTTGTTTAATATATTCCATCTCAAAAGGTATAATGGCTTTTCCCATTTTATAACATCTCTTTGGATGAATGTTAACTAAAAGGGCAGAACAGACAGTAAATTCCCACCAACTGATCATCCTGGCAGTTTCTTCTTGCAATTTTTTCCATCCACTAAGGAATCCCATAAATTATAAAGCCCCCCTCTGCTTCTCCATTAAAAATCATAATTGACTGCTACTATTGCGGCATTTCCAAGAGAACTACAATCAGTAGGGAGAAACCCGTGATCAGTGGCCATTCCCTTTAGCCAGGCCATTAGAGTGTGGACAGTGACCACGGTTAGCGCTCTGAAAACCTATCAGACCTGCAAAATTAATTTTAGGTATTTTAACTTTGCTCTAGTATTTGAGAACAAGTACTCATTGACCACAACAGATGGAACAACCCAGGTAACTCCCTTCAGTCTGACTCACACTGTATGTTTCCTAACAAGAGGACTGATGCTAAGAGAATACTACCTATATGATACAGTTTCTTCAATCCACCAGAGGAGGATTTGTTTTTTAATTGAAATGCACTGGAAAATAGCAGGAGTGTCTTCCACTTCTGTGAGGCTAAGTTCTACTTATGAAGAATATAAGGCCTGTTGCCTAAATGCATTTATGCCACTCTGGTCCAGAGAAAGAAAATGCATATTAACTTTCAACTTGATGCTTGCTTTCTTTCTTGAGCTTCCCTAGCGCCATCTTTTCACTCTGTGCAGGCTATCCCTGAGCCCTATTCAGTTCCACATCTTTTCCCCCGAGAGACATCAAGAATAAGAATGCAAAGCTGCAGCAGCCCGCATTTTTAGGGATGTATTTACAGCAGGACCTGGCTGCCTCTGCTGGAAGGGGCAAATAAACTCCTCCCAGGGATGAACATTTGGGGAGGGTGCAGGGGAGGAGGATGCACACTACAGCTCAGTTCTGCCTAACGATGGACAAAACATAAAAACATTCAGAGGAGAAAAGGAGTTTCCCCTTTTCCCTCTTTTAGAAAAATGGGAATTCAGAAATGTTTTCAAAAACGAAAAGTCCCTCCACTTGTTCCCTGAGCCTTCCTCCAGGCTTCACATTTCTACCTTTTCCCCAAAGTGCTTAGTACAGACCCCAACACTCCCCCCACCTCCTCAACCCTCACCCCAGGCATTTCCGAAACACAGGTAGGTACTTGTGAGAAGGGGAGCAACAGATAATACACAAAGACCATCACCCTTGGGAGAATTCAAGAAAAATCCTTAAATAGTAAAAAAAAAAAAGTATGTGGGTGGGGTGGGGTGGAGGTGAGGGCTATCAAGAAAAGTGTTATGAGATTAAGTGAAATACAAATACAAGAGGGGAAAAGCACAGACCCAATACAACAGGACCGCCATAAAAACATGTCATAAAGAGACAGACTACTGACGAAATGATAACGGGTATTGGGAGGGAGGAGGGTAGGAGGAAGACCATAAAAGGGAGTAAAACGTGGAGCAACCGAATTAGAGCGACGTGTACCTGAGTCATCAGCTGGTATGTGACTGCACGCCAGTGAGTGGTGAAAACACATTTGCGTTTTTAAAAAGCCCCGATTCAACGAATAGCACGGTGGGTGGAGAATGTCAGGTAACTGGACACAGATGTACCGCATGGAGCCGCGTGCAGGCCGATCCCGGGCCGTGCCCCGCCCTCATGGGAGTTCTGACTGACGTAGACCACGATGATGTCGCCCTTGAAATTCATCACCTGCCCGCTGGAAATAAACGTGGAGTTACTGTTTCCAGTCACATTTCCTACAGGGAGAGGAAGAGAGAACACGCAGAGGTGAGTCATCCATTCGCGGTGAGAACCGGGTCTTGTGAAAGGGAAGTTTCCCAATGAATGGAGGGGCGAGGGCGGCCTCTCCTCACCGACAGGTCTCCTACATGCACCGGGCACACCCAGGAGTTGTTTTTTTAAAATATATTTTATTGATTTTTTAACAGCGAGGGGCAATGGGCCCCACTCAAATTTTGTCATTTGCCACACGGAACTCTGGGAGTACTAGCAGGAAGGCACTGGGACTGTAGAATCAGAGACAAGATTCAGATGCTACAAAAGGGTTCCTGTGCCCACTTGTGATCCCTGTGCAGCAAACAGCCAACCGCCCCGCTATGGTCCAGTGTATCAGGAAGGGCAGTGTGGGCTGGAGGGGAGGTTGTCACCTGTGAGGCTCCTGGAGCCCACCTCAGCCCAGCCTGCTCTCTGACCACTCTCAGTCTGAGGCCTCTGTCACCCTGGATGCCTTTACACCTCCCACCTTCCCTGGAGGTCCCTAATGGCTCTGCCTAGAGGGCCATGGGGCCACTCGGGTTCATATTTAGCAGAGGTTAATCAATTTCCTTGACTTTTTTTTAAACCCTGGGGGGGGGGAGGGGGGATTCAGAAGACTAAAATGGGAAAAAATTGAATCCTATAAATCACTTTCCTTTTGAATGTTGAGGAGTGTGCTTCCCAAGTGAGCAGATTTAGCCAGTGAGTGAGCAGTTTAGCTAGTCTTTAATTAACGGGCCTTTTGAAAAACAAATAGGAGGGTCAACAAATGCTAGGAAACCTGCTACCTCTTATGCTTCTTCTATTTTAAAGACTGATGCTCGGAACTGAAAGTAAATGCCACAAACCAAGGAGACACAGAACTGCCCCAACACTCAGCATCACAAGCAGGACCGATGTCTGCCCAGGGGAGGTGAGCTTCCTCATCTTCCTTCTTCTCTATTGTGACAAAGCCTAATGATAATTCACAGAAATAAAATTGGTTCTGTCGCCACCCCATGTGAAGAGATCCTCTCCAAATGGGGAAGGCATGTGTTGGATGGTCTAATAAATACCCACGGCGCAAAGGCTATTCCTGTGGGGAGCCTTCCCTTCCCCCACAGGGTACCTGCAGCGAAGCCAGGACTGAGGCACAGTGGCCCATGAAAACGCAGGAATTTCAAATGTGAGCAACAAACCGAAAGTCACATGGGAAGATTTGTGACTCATGCTATTTCTCCCTTAGACATTCGTATGGGGTATATTCCAAGATGGGTAGTGGGGGTGGGGTCGTATTTGCTTAATAACCCCCCCCCCCCAGGCAACATGGGGGAGGTCAGTTAGTATTTCCATTCACCAACTAGCTCGATTGGCCCACATTCTCTGTTCCCTCTGAAACATACTGACAGGTGCTCCTAACATACAGTGAACTCGAAGCTAGGGGCTTGCTTTCTAGCATGCCTATGTCTTTCTGCTCCCACCAGTTACCAAGTTAGTTCTCAAGTATGTCCTTTTGTTAATTGTCCTGAAGCATGTAACAGTTTTCACAGAAATAATTTTCATGCTTATCCACCTCATTTTTGACCAGTTAATGGAGCAGGTAATTTTCTAATTACAACAGGATCAGTGCACACTCTCAGGACTGAAGTGCAGGAAGCATGCCTCGCACCAGGCGGGAGCAGAAGGGCCTGGGCATTCCAGAGTGACCCCTTACTTGTGAGTAATCAGTGTGCTGTGGGCTTCCGCCAGCTTATTTTCCAGAGGGAAAGGAGAGTGTGGGCCAGTCTATGGGATAAATGGAGATATGGAGAGCACCCATTACGGGAACAATAGTGATAGAAACACCACCCATCCAGGACTCACTGAGTGCTCCTTCATGCCAGGCTGGCTGCATTGCAGACACCAGCTCCCAGGTACTTGGCCTGTGAGCACTCAGGTTTGCTGTCTTTTTCCCTCTTGTGTTTGACATTCTTTTCATGGCTTGTCATAATGCAGACTCATGTGCAAATAATCTAATAACATCAATGTCATCCTGGCATCTCAGTCTCTGCAGAGCAGAAGGTGCATAACTGGTGATTAAAGGATGGTGGTTTCAGTGGCTGGCTGAGCACAGGAGGGTGAGGAAGGGGGAGGGGACAGAAGAGAGTGCAGGGATCTGAAAGCTCTCTGGTCTTGTCCTGACTCTGCCCCCACTAGCCTTGGAATGTGGGACCAACCACCTAACAACTGTCCAGACCTCAGCTGCTCATTTAGGAAATGAGCATCAGTCTTCAAGCCCTGCTAGCCTGGCAGGGTGCAGCCGCCTGAGAAGGCATCCAATAACGATTCAATGAATGAATAAATGAATGTGTGAACACCCCACAGGACAGCATGAGGGTCAAACGAGACAATAGATTTGATAATACTTGGGAAACAGCAAAGAATTGGTCACAGGTGCAAAGATGGCATTACTAGTCCCAGAATGTAGTAGTATTAGTGCTCTTGAACTCTCAAGGAATCAGATTTGGGGAATGCACTGAGCAGTAATGCTCTTTCCATCTCCGTCTTGTTGGGGGATCTCAATCCATCTTGAAGGTTGAAAGGGCATTTTTTCCTAGAAATCTAACCAACATTTTGTTTTCATTGTGGGAAGAATCCATCATTTTGACTGCCTCTGGTTTGAACACTCATCTATGTAATTCTACACAAAACCCTATAGTCTCGTTTCTTGTTATGCAAGTCAGCTATGAGGTGAATGTAGAACTCCAACCGATCACAGTTTAGAATGAGTTGGTAGTATCTTAATCCTATAATATCCGTCAGTCCTGAATTGTCCTTGCTTAAAAGTAGTAATTCCTTAAAATGTGCTCTTTATCTTTCGGAAGAGAAATGTTTTGCAGGGTTATGAAAGCTAACCTGAGAGGGCAAGACCTTGGATGGTCAATTAGTAGGTTGCCACGCCAGCAGGCTGCATGACCAGCTGGGTGCTGCAGGGCCTCTGGGTCAGCATGGTTGCCATGGTTTCTGCCATTAATACCTGGCCCCAAAGGGGTAACTCTTTCCACTGAGCACCAAGAAAGCCCAGGATGATCTGTTGATAGAGGGGACTCCTCCCTCTATCACAGCTGTAAGGGGGGTATGAAAAGGGGATGGTGCGGATAAGGCTTATCTACCATGCCTTAAAGAGGCCTGAGGCATTTAGCCCATAGAGCCTCTAGGAATCCAAGCAGAGTAAGAGCCCTGTGTCCCTCTTCCTTGCTCTTCTCAGCTGCCTTTCTGGCAGCTTTCCCCTACCAGGTATTTATTTTAAATTTATTTCACTTGCAGAAAGAGATGGGTTTGGGGCATGTGAAACAAAGAACTTGGCTCACAAAAGAATGGGTGAGAGCAAAGACTAACTTCCTGAGACAGCTGGCAGAGGAGAAGGGACTCCCAGGTCATGGTAGCCATCACCTCCTGCACAGACCCGGTGTCCTTCCCATGCAACCATCTGGGCCTGGCCTGGGTACTGCCCCTTGCTCAGCAGAGCAGCCAACTCTCCTGGGTCTGTGTTTGCCCTTATTCTGGGGGCACACTGAAGATTCTCCAACACACAGTAAACAAATGAAGTCATATCCCTGCTAATGATTTAAGGGGAGAGGAGCCGCGGCTTCAGGTCCAGGCTCTGCAGGGAGATAAGCAGGATGTCAAAACAGTCTTACGTCGACTGATCAAATTGTATCTGAAGGCTACCCAAGAGTATGATGTGGGAGCCAGAGGACATGAGGGTATTTAGTAAATTAGACATGTTGAAGGGTTTCTAACATTCAAAACGGGTTACTTGGCTTAACATGAATATTTAACGTGACTTAACCAGAAGAATGTCCAGGTAACTGGAGAAAGGTAAAAGTAGCATTTAGTTCAACAGAAACAATGAACAAATAAAGTGGCCCTTCACGATCAGAAAGTGGGGTCCTTGCTTTTATAGGGGCTCGATGGACTCTCTATTTCTCAGGCAGAGAGAAGCAGCTTCCTTTTTAGAACTGAATTCCTCACAGAATTTACATTTATAAGCAAGGGGATGCATTCTTCTCTTCTCAAAAGCTTATTATGTCGTTTAAAATGCATAATGTATGAATATTAAATCACAAGAACTATAGCAAATAAGACCATCCAGCTGTCAGTCGGATATTCTTTGGATGAAGAGAACTAAAAATATACACAAATATGCTCCAGCTATCCAGCTACCCTGGGTGCCTTCCGAATTTCTTAAAAACTGGTTTTATATTTAATCCATATGCTTCTCATGTGACTTTCCTTTTGATGGAAATGCATGCCCTGTTTTAGGCATTTGGAAGAAACTGGTGTATAATGATCAGGGAAGGGAAGCAGTATTTAATAGTTCCATTCTGAATCATGCTTGAAAATTACTTACAGTGGCTTATGAATGAAACCCTTCCAAAATGAGCCACATTAGAACAGAGAGAAGGCAAGCAGGACTGAATTAAAAGTATACAGTGAATTAATTTTTCATATATTTTAAAATAGTGCATTGACTTTTTGCATAAATGAATGCTCATTATTATTACCAAATAACAAAATTATAAAATATTTTGAACTTATAGAATCAATGAGCCCTTAGCTAAAAGTGAAACACAAGTTAGTGGATGGCATTCCAGCAGGAGAGAGAAGAAAGAAATAGAGGACTATCTTTACAGGAACACCTCTCCCTGTCTCTACATGGTCCCCTTTCCAGAGCACACAGTTCCAGTCCCAGCTCAAATGCTGCTTCCTAAACCAGGGATGGCAGGCATGCTGCTATGTGGCTACTGTTCCCTTCTGTGCCCTGGGCAGCCCTTCACATGGGGGGAAGGGAAGAAAAGGGAAGAAAATTGGGGTAGGAAAATCTTTGAGAATGAAAATGGATGGTCAAGAATAGTCACTTCAAGAGAGAGTGGGGCCCAGGGAGGGGAGACTGCAGACGGGGAACCTAGGGGGCCAGGCATGAGCCCCATCCTCCAGTGCCCTTGGCTGCCAGACATCT